TGATCATTTAAAATAGGAAGAAAAGGTCCAAAGGGGTAGGGGAAGTGGGAAGGGAAGGGGAAAGGAAAGAAGGGAAAGGAAAAATTATGAGAAAAGGAAAAAATGGAAACAAAGTCTTTGTAAACAGGGAAGGGTGGAAGGGGTGAAGGGAGGGCAGGGAGTGGGGAAAAAATAAGAACCAAGATACATCATGTACAGGTACAAGCAGCCAATGATGAGTGTAAATGTACTGTATACCTAAAATGTACCAATGAAAGAATTTAAGCAAAAAATAAATAAATAAAGGTGGCCTGAAAACTGAGATGTAGGCGAGGCCTTGAGGGAATGGGGGTGCAGAGTACACGAAGCTGATCGAAACAGTTGTGTTTGGTTGTAAATGGGAGTGTGAGAGGCTGGAGGCTGGAGGCTGGATGGGGTTCACCCAGATGGGAATAAGAACCTAGGTACAGCTCCACTGGTTGCCTCAAAGTCTCATGAGACTATTGAACACATTTGTCAAGGGAACACATTCTGGAAATATAATTGATAAGGGGGCAAAGTAATATATGTGGAATTTCCTATTATATAATTAATTTTTTTCAGTTGGAATTTTTTTTTTTTTTTTTTTTTAGTACCGGGGATCAAACTCAGGTTCTTGTGCCTGTGCAGGAGGCAGCAAAACCACTGAGCTAAATCCCCGGCCCTTGTTGGAATGTATTTTGTTTCCCTAAGTGAAAAGCCAATTTTCTGATATAGAACACTCACAGTGAATTATAAAATGTAAAACAATATTTAATATCATTCCTTTAGGATAAAAATACCTAAAGCATCCTCTCAAAACAAAAGAAAAGCAAAGAAGGTGCTACCACCCAGCCCCTTTTCTTGCTGGTCCTTCTTATTCTTCTCTCTCCTTTGTAGTGGCTCTCTCAGATTTACAAAAAAAGCACACATTAAAAAAAAAAAAAAGGACACATGAACCACTGTAAAAGAGCCCTGTGATACAAAAGAAAAAGATTTTCCATAAAATCCACCTGTATCAGTAGAGCATGCCTTGTAGTCCTGGTGCCCAGGAAGTTCGTCCCCAGGGCAGCACTGCAGATCGAGGCCATAGACCCAGGGAGAAGATGATGGCTCCTTCTCTCACCCGTCTCAGAGATAGGGCACAGGGGCTTCGAGAGAGTTGGGGGGTCCAGGAACCCCCTTCCTGTAAGTGTACAGAGCTGCTTCCATGTGTTGGGCCAATCAAGAGGGGGTTTGGAGTGACACCTGCTATCCAGTGAAACTTGGAGTCTTGAAGAGGGCAGGGAAGATGGGAAAAGGAATATCCACTTTTTAAAATTTTCTATTTTTTGTATTGTTATACTTACTGAAAAAAGTAAGTAAAGAGTGTTGAAGCAGGAGGATTACAAGTTGGAGTATAGCTAGGCAACTTAGTAAGACCTTGTCTCAAAATAAAGACATAAGGAGCCAGTTATGGTGACTCAAACCTATAATCCTAGCCCTCGGGAGGCTGAGGGAGGAGGATCGCCAGGAGTTCAAGGTCAGCCCGGGCTACAGAGTGAGTTCAAGGCCAATCTGAACTACATAGCGAGACCCTATCACAAAAAAAATGAAATAAAATGAAAGGGGCTGGGGATGTAGCTCAGTGAGAAGGGGAATTCAGTACTCAGTACCACAATCAATCATTAAAAATGAAGTTGCTCTTGGCCACACACTCCTATAATCCTGGGACTCTAGGAGGCTGAGGCAAGAGAATCACAAATTTGCGCTCAGCCTGGGGAACTTAATAACTTGTCTCAGAATTTTAGAAGGCGCTGGTGATGTATCTCAGTATGGAACTCTGAGTCTAATCCTTAGTATTGTTTGATTAAATGTTTTAAAAAGCTGGGGGCTAGGAGGGGAGAAAGCAGAGGGATAAAAGACGAACGAGAATAAAGATGACATTGCAAATATGCACTGTTTAGAAGCTGTCACCTCTCTTTCCTGTATTACTACTGTTAACAGTGAAAACAGCCAAGAGGAGAGCTGACGGGCCAGGTGTGCCCAGGTGGGCACCTGGGGTATGGCCCATCTGCCCCGTGGGCCATTTTTTGTTTTTGTTTTTTTGGTACTGGGGATCGAACTCGGGACCTTGCACTTGCTAGGCAGGCGCCGGAACCACTGAGCTAAATCTCCCGCCCCATAGGCCATTTTAAGCTTAGTCAGCCAAACTGGGCATAAGTTGTCCCAGCAGGTGAAGGTGCAGGGCTGGCTGTGACCGGTAGGTGGCAGCACTCCCACAAGGTCCTGGGCCCATGGCTGGTTCTGGAGATGGCGGGTAGGCAGGCCTTCGAGCAGATGCTGGCTGGCTGCCTGCCTCTGAAAATGCTTCCTTTGCATATTTGGGTATAGAACTATGCACTGCTTCCATCTGAGAAACCCAGAAAACTCATGTGCCTACCTGTTTCTCCCCGGGGTCTGAGCACCAGGTTACCATTGTGCAGCAGAAGTGTAGGACAGAGGCCTCAGGAAGGACAGGGAGATCACACCAGCTAGATAGGCCATACATGAAAGAGAATCTTGGTAACTGTATTTGTTAATTTTTATTAATATAAGATATATTAGGGTTTTTTTCTTTCAATATAGAGATACAAAGATGAGAACTAAAAGTGGGCCATAACCTCCCCAGATAAACCCCGTTGACAATTAAAAAAAATAAAGATAATAAAAGAAGTCCTCAGGCCGGGGATTTAGCTCAGTGGTTCCAGCGTCTGCCTCACAAGCGCAAGGTCCCGAGTTCCATCCGGTATCAAAAAAAAAAAAAAAAAGGAAACCGAATAAAAGAAGTCCTCTTTAAGATCTGAAAAGTCACAGGAAGGAATAAAAGAAGTAAATGCTTCTTCTTCCGCCCTTCATCCTCTCCAACAGAGATGACCATTAAATTTCTGTGATTGCCTTGAGAAAAACATTCAACTGTGCTCATGCTAAAGTATCTGAAATTTCGTTTCATTTGTTTTTCTATTTTAATCCCAAAAGTGATCATATAATACAGTTACGAGTTTTGCTTTCTTTTTTAAATTCACATTATCCCAAAGATTTTCCTGAGTCAGTACACAGACTTTGGTGTATCATGTTTTTAATGGGTTTCTGTTGATGGAGATCCAGCTGGTCCTAGTGGGCACCTCATATAAACAGCATTGGAGTGAGCATGCTTGTGTATTTACTTTGGCATATATTTTAAGTGCAGATTTCTAGGGCTGAGTCAAAAGAAAATCTGTGTGTATGTGTGTGTGTCACTGGGGATTGAATCCAGGGCCTTGCACATGTTGGGCAGGCACTCTACCACTGAGCTACATCCCCAATCCTTTTTAAATTTCATTTTGAGATGTCTTGCTAGGTTGCCCAAGCTGGCCTTGAAATCTTGATCCTCCTACCAGAGCCTCCTGAGTAATCTCTCCTGGGATTACAGGCATGCACCACATGGGAGGATTTGATAGCAGAATTTTCCACCAGAAAGTTTTCCCCAGTTTTCATACCCACCAAGACTGAGTAGAGAGCTGGATATGGTGGCTCACACCCGTAATCTCAGCTTTCTGGGAAGCTGAGGCAGGAGGATCACAAGTTCAAGCCCCAGCTGGGAAATTTACCAAGACTGTCTCAAAATAAAAACTAAAAAAGGGGCTAGGGATTTACATTGAGTTCAATCCTCAGTACAAAAAAAAAAGTGTATAAAGCGTAGCTGCTTGCATGTAGCTGTAGAGAGACCAGGATACTGTGCTCTGATCCCTGCTGGGAGCCTTTTGACAGTAGTGATGAGGCTGACCATTTGCAGGAAGCAGGTCCAGCTTCTCTGCTGGGTTCAGGGACTGGCTGGCTCCATGGCCCTTGCCTGCTCCCCTGCAAATCTGCATGGTGGCTGTGAAGAGGAGGTCAGCAGCCTGTCTTTCAGGTGGACATCGGGTTTCCCTTGTCACCTTTGCAAGGTTTTCTTGTTTGTCCCTGGAGTAGGGATGAATGATAGTGTCTTCTGACTCTTCCAGGTAAAGAAGGCATACAGGCAGAAGGCCCTCTCCTGCCACCCAGACAAAAATCCAGATAATCCCCGAGCAGGTGAGGTTCTGTAGGGGATGAGAAGAAAGACCTGTGTGCCCGACTCGGTGTCCGCTCCGAGCTCTGTGTGAGGCCGTGGAGGGAGGTGCATGGGGCCTGCTCTGGGCAGCGGGGCCCAGGGCTCACACGCTAGAAATGGCCAGTCAGTGGCTGATGGGCTCCCCCTTCCTCACTGGCCTGGCATTTGCCAGTGTCAGCCTTTCTACCCACCTGTGGCTGCTTTGGAATGCTTTTGCGAAGGAGCACACCATCACCAAGTCTAACTTTATTTTTCTCCTTTCCTTTTTTGGCTTAGCTGAACTCTTCCACCAGCTGTCTCAGGCCTTGGAAGTGCTGACCGATGCTGCGGCCAGGGTGAGTGCCTCCTTCTTTAGGTGACTGTCCCCTGGGGACAGAGAGCACTGCTGCCTTCAGCCTCCATCCTCTGGCCTTAGTCCTTGCTGTCCAGGCCTTGGAGAACCCTCACCAGGCTGCTGCCCAAGTGGCTCTGGGCTGGAAGTCAGGGGCCAGGAAACTACTGGGGCTGTGTCTTTTTCTCTGGTTGACTACTGCTCTGTGTTCCTTTGTGCTGCCAGGCTGCATATGACAAGGTCAGGAAAGCCAAGAAGCAGGCAGCAGCGAGGACCCAGAAACTTGATGAGAAAAGGAAAAGAGTGAAGCTTGGTAGGTAACTTCATACCCCAAGTGGCCTTTGGTTTCCCTTCCCCGCCTTCTTCCTGGACCATCACTTTTAGTTATTCAGAGCCTCTTAGTCGAGGATCTGGGCAAAACACTCTTTGGAAAAATAGCAATTATTAGATTTACTGTTAAAGTTTGGAAACCTTTGGGGGCTGGGATTTAGACTCATAAAGTATGATCAGAATTGGTGTTCTTATTCCCTGCGCCAGGCCAGGTCTCTGTCATTCTTTGCAGCCTCATTCTTGCCCAGAGTTAGTACTCTGACAGACTCTCTGCAGGATTCCAAGATGTCCAGGCTTGCTTGCTCCCCCACATCTCTCTCTCTCTCTCTCTCTCTCTCTCTCTGTCTCTCTCTGTCTGACCTTGAACTCACTAGCTCCTGCCTCAGCCTCTGACTGCTGGGATTATAGGCATGCGCTTATCATGCCCAGCTTTGTTTTCTTTTTCTTCTTTCTTTTTCCTCTGTGGTACTAGGGATTGAACCCAGGGCCTTCACACTGAGCTGTACCCCTAGCCCTGTAGTCCTCCTGCCTCAGCCTCTAAGAGTGCTGGGATTACACGCATGTGATACCATGTCCAGCTCAGGCTTTCTTTTTCTGTTTGCTTGCTTCCTTTTTTATTTTTATTTTAATTTTTTTGGTACTGGGGATCAAACTCGGGACCTTGCGCTTGCGAGGCAGGCGCTGGAACCACTGAGCTAAATCCCTGGCCCTTGCTTCCTTTTTTAAAAAATAGGGTCTCACTGTGTAACCCAGACTGGCCTTAAACTCACAGTGATCCTCCTGCCTGAGCCTCCTAAGTGCTAGGATTATAGGTGTGCATTACTATGCCTGGCAAAAGCTTTTTCTTTTAACAGCTTTATTTTGAGGTGTTCTGGGGCTTTTTGTTTGTTTGTTTCTGGTACCAGCAGTTGAACTCAGGGCCTTGTGCTTGTCAGGCAGATGCTGCACCACTGAGCTACATTCGTGGCCCTTATTTTTAATTTTTTTTTTTTGGTACTGGGGATCGAACTTGGGTCCTTGCACTTTCGGGGCAGGCGGCGGAACCACTGAGCTAAATGCCCGGCCTCATGGCCCCTATTTTAAGGTATTCTTTGCATAACACAACATCCACCCATTTCAAGTAAAGGTCAGTGATTTTTAAAAATTAGGTAGGGCCACTATGACTATAAATCAATCTCAAAACATTTGCATCTACCCAGTAAGATTGGTACAGACAATCTGTACTCCATATTCTCCCCTTCCTGCCATTTAATATGCATGTATTTTGATAAGTGCCCACACCATTCCAATGTAGCCATTGCTCTATTCAGAAAAGAAGAGTGGGCTGTGAGCGTGGCTCAGTGGCAGAGCACTTGCCTGGCATGTGCAAGGCACTGGGTTCAATCCCTGGTACACCAAAAAAAAAAAAAAACATACTTGCTATCAGGTGAAACATATTTGTCTTCCCCCTGCTCCCCTCCAAGATTTCCTGCACCTTCCCGACCCCATCTGGTTAGGACAAAGGGACTGTCATTTACACCTCTGCTCACACACGCACCACACAC